TGCTTAATGGTCTCATGCAGTGTGAAATTCAGTGCTCCCCTTAAATCCATAACATCATACTACATATTCCCTTTAAACATAAATAACCATGAATCTCTCATAATATCACCAGATCTGGAAATATTCTATGCTGATAGAACTGAATTTTATATGCAAAACCAATTGTAAAATTCATTATATGGGATATACATTCAAATAGGGAGTACAAGCGCTTCTATATAAAATTAAAGATTAGGATTATACCAAACAGATTTGGAATGAGCTGCTATACCACCGTGCTTATCTTTCTATAGGAAAATGGTGGAAAAGTGAGAAGTATCGGTGTAGCGCTCTATGCAAGTGGATGTGAAAAAACAAATAAACGAAAACCTTGCTATACCTTGATGGGTTACATACACTTATGGGTAGTCCCAATGTAGTCAGGTTTACCTTAAATACAAAACACAAACATACAGAACATAGTGTAACCTGTATACCAAAAATAAATCGAAATAAAGTGCATAGGTAATTCACTCACACTTTTCTGAGCTAATGTACTAGCTCAGGTATATGCGCCTTAGGGTCCGTAGAGGCGACCCTTCCCCTCCTTTTCGTCCAAATTGTCTCCGGGTATATTGTCCTAGGTAATAGGTATAGGAGGAAGAAATAGCGTAGTACAGTCTGATGTATATAAGGTATATATAATAAATAATACCAATATACTCACAAACCCTGAGTCAATGTACCGGCTCACTTCATAAGATGTATGTGGTTAAGGACCACAATCCTTCTTTATAGTAGCAGGTAGGAATAAAAGCCGTACGTGTGATAAAAATATATATATAATTTATTGTATAAAAAGTATTACATAAATATAAAAAATACACTATATCAATAAAATCAACACTTGTGGCTATAGTCCAAAAGACAGTATAGTCTGCTCACTGTTCATCCAGGACGCGTTTCACCAAATTGGCTTCCTCAGCTGGAAAAATGTTCATGAGACTCCAAGGACTCCTTCCTGCTTTTATATCCCCTTAGTTAGGCTTGTAGCTTGTCTTTTTCGCGGGCAATCTCCATGGTAATGGAGATGCCCTGTATTCTAAGCCTCTTTTCCGTCCGGTTACTTCCGGGTATGATCACTTCCGGTTTCGGCCGTTCTTGCGTCATGCGTTCCACGGTGCTTTCCACGGTGCGTTCCACCGTGCGTTCCACCGTGCGGCTGCAGTTCTAGTATCCAATGCCAAAAAATATTTTCCTCGAAGAAACAGCAGATCAAAAGGGCGCAATGACTTGTTAATATGCAAATAATGACTGCATATACACAGGCATAAATGTGTATATTCCCCATGTATAAGACAAAGCATATGTAAATCTGCCATAAACAGTTACATAGGGCAAATAAAAGTGTATACCACAGCTTATTCTAGTGGCATGTAGATAAGATGACAGACATATTGAAAAACATATAAAAAGCCTTAATTAATTAATACATAAAGGAAGTTTTTAAATAATATTGGTATATATTTTGTCAATGGATAAAACCATATAGGATAATGAGGAGAAGGCAATTTTGTACACAAATAGTAAATCCAAAAAACTCTTATTCCAATAGATGTACCCCATATAATTTGAACAGAATAGAATATTATAAAATATAATGAAAAGGAAGAATGTCAAAACTTGCTACTAGAAGAAACTGGGTGGAGAGTGATACTCTATGGTAAGAAAAAAGAAAGAAAAATTAAAAGTTAAAAATTGAAAAATTAACGAATTAAAAAATCTTTAATTAAAAAATAATTTTTTTAAAAAATTAATCCGTTAAAAAGTGGCACATTTCAAAATCGGAATTCAAACCGTTGGGAATGAGGCTTTTAAGTTTAAAAATCCATTCCATTTCTACTTTGCTCAATTTTGAGTCAAAATTGCCTCCTCTCCAATCTTTAGAAATTTTATTAATTCCCATAAAAATTGTACCTTTTATCTCACAATTATGGTGGATTTTATAATGTAAGGACACGCTATGTTTTTCGAAACCTTTACTAATGTTTCTACCATGCTCTTCTATTCTTAGGTGTAGAGCTCTTGTTGTCTTCCCTATATAATTTAGCCCACATGGGCATTTTATAAGGTATACAAGGTTTTTTGAATGGCATGTTATAAATTCCTTTATCGCGTATTCCTGTCCTTCATTACATTTAAATTTTTTTATATGTCTTTTTTTATTTTCAGTTCTTTTGCAAGCTAGGCACATCCCACATCCAAAAAAACCTTTTTCTGTATTTAGAAAAGTCATATTCGTATTAGTTTTTTCCTTTATAAAACTGGAGGTTAAAGACTTTCTTAAATTGTTTACTCCTCTATGGATAAAGCGAGGTTTTTCTGGAAGGCAACTCTTTAAACCTGGGTCTTGGAGAAGGATGTGCCAATATTTGGATACAATCTTTCTCACTTTATGATTTTTTGAGCTATATGTACATATAAAAGGAATTTCATTATTTGCATTGTTCTTTTTTTCTTTATATTGTAAAATATCCGTTCTCTCTATTTCTTTAATTTCCTGTCTGGATACCTCTAATTTTTGTTCTTCATATCCCTTTTCTATAAAATCTGATTTAATTTTGTTAGACTGAATTTCGAACATCTCTACATCTGTACAGTTCCTTCTTATTCTAAGGAATTGTCCCTTAGGGGCATTTTCCAACCACGGTAAGAAGTGACAGCTATCCCTTCCTATAAAGCTATTAGCTTCCACCGTTTTAAAGTGATTTTTAGTCTTGATGCAATTATTTTCTATATAAATATGTAGATCCAAGAAGATGACTTCCTTTTTGCTCCAATTACTCGTAGGTTTGATCCCCCATGTGTTGGAGTTAAGAGTGTTTAAAAAGGTAGATAGGTCTTCTTCTTGTCCCTCCCATATGAAAAAAATATCATCAAATATCAAAAATATCACTCTCCTCCCAGTTTCTTCTAGTAGCAAGTTTTGACATTCTTCCTTTTCATTATATTTTATAATATTCTATTTTTTCTTAGATATATCTGTTCAAATTATATGGGGTACATCTATTGGAATAAGAGTTTTTTGGATTTACTATTTGTGTACAAAATTGCCTTCTCCTCATTATCCTATATGGTTTTATCCATTGACAAAATATATACCAATATTATTTAAAAACTTCCTTTATGTATTAATTAATTAAGGCTTTTTATATGTTTTTCAATATGTCTGTCATCTTATCTACATGCCACTAGAATAAGCTGTGGTATACACTTTTATTTGCCCTATGTAACTGTTTATGGCAGATTTACATATGCTTTGTCTTATATATGGGGAATATACACATTTATGCCTGTGTATATGCAGTCATTATTTGCATATTAACAAGTCATTGCGCCCTTTTGATCTGCTGTTTCTTCGAGGAAAATATTTTTTGGCATTGGATACTAGAACTGCAGCCGCACGGTGGAACGCACGGTGGAACGCACCGTGGAACGCATGACGCAAGATCGGCCGAAACCGGAAGTGATCATACCCAGAAATAACCGGACGGAAAAGAGGCTTGGAATACAGGGCATCTCCATTACCATGGAGATTGCCCGCGAAAAAGACAAGCTACAAGCCTAACTAAGGGGATATAAAAGCAGGAAGGAGTCCTTGGAGTCTCATGAACATTTTTCCAGCTGAGGAAGCCAATTTGGTGAAACGCGTCCTGGATGAACAGTGAGCAGACTATACTGTCTTTTGGACTATAGCCACAAGTGTTGATTTTATTGATATAGTGTATTTTTTATATTTATGTAATACTTTTTATACAATAAATTATATATATATTTTTATCACACGTACGGCTTTTATTCCTACCTGCTACTATAAAGAAGGATTGTGGTCCTTAACCACATACATCTTATGAAGTGAGCCGGTACATTGACTCAGGGTTTGTGAGTATATTGGTATTATTTATTATATATACCTTATATACATCAGACTGTACTACGCTATTTCTTCCTCCTATACCTATTACCTAGGACAATATACCCGGAGACAATTTGGACGAAAAGGAGGGGAAGGGTCGCCTCTACGGACCCTAAGGCGCATATACCTGAGCTAGTACATTAGCTCAGAAAAGTGTGAGTGAATTACCTATGCACTTTATTTCGATTTATTTTTGGTATACAGGTTACACTATGTTCTGTATGTTTGTGTTTTGTATTTAAGGTAAACCTGACTACATTGGGACTACCCATAAGTGTATGTAACCCATCAAGGTATAGCAAGGTTTTCGTTTATTTGTTTTTTCACATCCACTAGCATAGAGCGCTACACCGATACTTCTCACTTTTCCAGGGATATACATTCGCTGATGGCGATAGCAGTGAGAGAAATTTTTTTTTTTTTTTCCTTTTTTCCCTTTCTTTTTTCACCTTCCTTTTCCCTTTCTTTCTTTCCTTTCTTTTTTTTTAGGAATGATTTTTAGCTGACTCGACTTACTTTCCAATTTGTCACCCCCATTCACATATCCTGGATCCTGAAAATCCATATGATGGCTACCCCAATCAGATTTGTAACAATATAATATAAAAAATACTTACAAAATTAGTATTGATTAATGCTTTTAAGGTGCCAAATTCATATTTAAAATAAAAAATAAGCAAATTATATTATTTAATTTACCCATCCAATTACCCTTAATTATTGTATTTATTTCAGAGATACTTAATCCCTCAAAGTGACTAAATAAACCAGTCATTGCCTTTATTTATATCCCTTAATTTTCCCTACATTTATCTATTCCTTCTTGTAATTTATTGGTAAATATTAATATCCTGTGATATTATTGGGTGAAATTAGTTAATATGCTTTGGTGCTTAGAAAGTGTATTTATTTATTTTTATTTTATTTTTTCTTTCTTCTCCCTTAAATCATTTAGTGTAAAAGAAAAATTTAAATTGACCTCAGAAATTAAAATTTAGGTTTCAAATAAATTCAAACTAAAATTGTAACTAATTTTACTGCTTACCTGACATTAATCTGTTCACACAAATTAATAATAAAATCCTGTGGGTAGCTTCACAATGCTCATTATTTTTTAATCCAAAATCCCCATCTCCTTAAATTTAGGAATATCTTCACATGGATCATTCATTGGGATTATTTTACCATCAAATTAAATTAAAAGTTTGTTTGGAAATCCCCATCTATATACAATGTTTTTTCCTTTTAAATTGTATGGTAATTTCTCTATATCGGGCTCTGCCCTGTCTTGTTGCCAGTGAAAGGTCGGGGAATACCAAAATATTTGTAAATTTCCCATTTTTAGTAGTCTCTCATTTGTCTCAAGAGTGAGTCTTCTATAGCTCCATTTAAGAATTTTACAATGACATCTCTTGGGGATGTATTTTGTGCCTTAGCCTCTCTAAAGAGCCTATGACATCTCTCTATAAGGGATGGAGATACGTTTTGGGAAGAGATTTAAATTCAATAATATATTCATCTAGTTTTTCTTGCGTAATACTTTCAGGAATACCGTTTATCCTTATATTAGTTCTACGGGACTTGTCTTCCATATCTATGATTTTATTATCAATTTCTTTCATCTGGTTTTTCAATGAAGTATTTTGAGTTTGCAATAATACAGCTTCTGCTCTAACTTTCTCTAGTTCCCTTCCTTGTTCTGTAACCTTTAAGTTCAAAGATGAGATCTCTTTAATTACTTCTGACAAGTTTTGTTTCATATCAGTCTTAGTCCTTACATATAGATCATCATTTATTTTAGTTAATTTGATTTGCAACCATTTCAGATGGGGAAGTAAAGTACATTTTGACCAGTGTAGTCTGTAATGTGCCTTCTAATTGTAGATTATGCAAGTTTTAGTGTACCTATAATCCTAATTTTATTGATGACAGGAGGGGAGTATTTTGCTTAAGTTTTTCTTTACTTAAGCTCCAAAGCAGCACATTTAACATAGTAACAGGATAAAAAATCAGAAAAAAGTGACAGGTTACAAAGCTCCCTCCTACTGATGTCACTTTCTCTTTCTTTCTGTCTGTGAAACGAACAAGAAACAAGAAACAGCAGAATAACTAGAAGAAGATCTCAGCATACAAGACGAGAAGAGTTAAAATCTGAGAGGAAAAGGAACTAGGCTTGACACCTCGAGGGAGCTTTAAACTGAAACGAAAGAACAGAGTCGAAACAGAGGATTAATCCAAGAATTGGACTTCTAAAGGCATGCCACCAAACTGTATGTAATATATATTCTGAAAGATGTATTTATCACTATCTATACATCCCACCACATTTAATCAAACCCTAGTGTAAGATGCTCTAAATTAGTCAGGACGTACTCACCCCTTTGCCCAGTAGACTGACCTAAGGAGGAGAAGGGGGGGGGGAACAAAAGGGTTGGAAAACGCTCGCCTCCTGTCATAAAATTTGGATTATAGGTACACTAAAGCTAGCATAATCCACAATTTTATAACATGACAGGAGGCTTCATATTTTGCTGTTTCAACGCTCAACAAGTAATGCTAGGGAAGCATGCGCGGCCGGACGAAAATAGAAAATGTGACACGTCTCTTCCTGGGACCAATATGCCGATTGGAGGATGTCCAGTATGGAAGCTCTGGCCATGAATGCTCCTGATGCTGCCACCCTTCTGATGGAGTGGGCTGCGAAGGAGGATTAGAGGATGTCCTGTAGGGAAGCTCCGGCCATGTATGCTCCTGATGCCACCGTCCTTCTGATGGAGTGGGCTCCAAAGGAGGCTTCGATCCCTGCTAGAGAAAGTAACCACCTAATCCACCGTGCTAGAGTTGTGGTTGAAACTGGATTATGTGGGCGAACGAATGAGACTAAAAGGTGACCCGAGGAAGATGAACGGAGGGTCAAGGTGATGGACAAATAAGAAGAAAGTGCCAAAATGACACATAGTTTAGGATGGTTAGGGAAATGAGGATAGAACACTGTGGAGGTGTCTGATTTAGTGCGTCTAGATAGGGAAAATTTAACTTCTCTGTCAAATGCCCGAACGTCAGACACTTGGAGAAAGGACACCAAATAAAAAAGTAGGGCGAACTTCGCCGACAGTTGGCAGAGAGAGAGGTCCTCATTATTCAGCCAAGCTTGTAAGAATCAGATCATGACATTAACGTCCCAGAGGTGGGAGTACTTCGGTGCTGGAGGGCAAGCCAGTTAAATGCCCCACAAGATTCTGCAGACCAGCGGGTCCTGACCAACAGGAGCTCTGTGTAGCGGGACATAGGCTGCAGAGATGTCTGGCCGGGCTACGTTGATTGATCGGTACGACTGGCCCAGATTAAAGAGGTGCGATAGGAAGTTCAAGATGTATTGACCTCCAACATCCACTTGTCATTTGTTTCATTTTTTCATTTGATTAATTTTTTTTGTTTACCTTTTAGATTAATTCTTCATATATGTTGGTTCACAGTATGTACTTTTATTACTGTATAAGGTATCTGTAAAATAAAATAAAAAAAAGTCCTGCGCTTAAACTCCTATCACTCTTGTGCGGCAGCAACGATCATAGTACACATCAGCCCCAATACATACAGTAAAAACCAAAGAAAAAAGTTACCTGCGCTCTTCCCAAATCCCTGTGCATATTTAAACAAATGGAGGTTATTTAATTTCTCCAATGGTCATGAGCAACTTTAGCCCACCTGCCACGTCAAGGCAAACCTCTCTGGTGGGTCCTGCACTATCCTTTCACCTTGATTCCTTGAGCTTCTGGCAAAATACCTCTAATGTGTCTCATTACCCCACTCCCTCTAGCATGTAAGCTCATTAAGCAGGGCTCTCAACCCCTCTGTTCCTGTGTGTCCAACTTGTCTGGTTACAACTACATGTCTGTTCGTCCACCCACTGTAAAGAGCTGCGGAATTTGTTGGCGCTATATAAATAATAACATAATAAGAATAATAATAACATAATAATGCAAAATTCTGCCTTTAAAGTCTTATGTAATGTTTAAATATAACACAAAGTATTGGATGTTATTCTATACTTGTAATACTACCTTGCTATGTATTGTAATTTAATTAACCTGGAGTTGAATGGGGACTACAATAAATATAGAAGGGGCAGTGGACATGCCAATTTCCACCAACCACTTCATATAAAAATGTCCACCCCCCAAGGTGGCAAGTGGTCCATCGTCCCCTAACTATATTACCAATAAAAAAACACTGTGCCTACCACCTTCACCCTAATAATAGTGGGGGTGCCCAATCAATTTAATACCTGTGGCTTATACATACCATTATATTTCTTCTTTATTCTTCAAATGTCTTTCCTTCAGCAATGCAAAGTCTAGGAAAAAAAAGTTAAGACCTGACAGTAAAAACTAACTAATCAAACTTCATCCATCTTAGGCTCTGTGCAGATTAAGTTTGCATAGTGTGAAAAGTCCTTGCAAAATTACCAAATTCTGACCGGATTTACCAATGCCAAATTCAGTCGAATTGTGATTATTATATCTTAGTGGATTAAGAGAGAAAGTAATATGTATAGACTTAATGTTAACCCCTTAAAGACTGAGCTAAATGTACACGTTGTGATTGAATTTGCGCTATATGTCTGTTCAGGCGTAATTCACCTCTTTCATATTATGTGCATGCACACTTATTAAATAACATTTTTATTTTCATTTAACATCAAATATATAGCTATGAAACATAATTTAATATGAATAAAATATTTAAAAAATGAGAGAAAATAAGATTTTTTTATTTTTTTTTAGTTCTACATGACATTTTAACTGTGAATGTCATAATACTGTTTGCTTTTAGTGCAATAAAATACACATATTTGTATTCAGCGATGTCTCACGTGTAAAACAGTACCCCCTATGTACAGGTTTTATGATGTTTTGGGAAGTTACAGGGTCAAATAGAGCATGTTAAGTTTTTTCAGTTTTTTAGATTGAAATTCACCAGATTGGTTACGTTGCCTTTGAGACCGTATGGTAGCCCAGGAATGAAAATTATCCCCATGATGGCATACCATTTCCAATAGTAGACAACCCAAAGTATTGCAAATGAGGTCAGGGGAGGATGGAGGCCACAACATGACTTTCTCTCTTTTTATCCCCATAGAAGACATTGATACAGAGGTATTCTGTATAGCATGAGATGGTGAATTGTCATGCATGAAGATGATTTTATTACAGAAAGCATAGTTCTTCCTTTTGCACCAGGGAAGAAAGTGGTCAGTCAGAAACTCTACATACTTTGCAGAGGTCATCTTTACACCTTCGGGGACCCTAAAGGGGCTAACCAGCTCTCTTCCCATGATTCCAGCTCAAAACATGACTCCACCACCGCCTTGCTGACGTTGCAGCCTTGTTGGAACAGGGTGGCTGTCCACCAACCATCCACTACTCCTTCCATCTGGACTATCCAGGGTTGCACGACACTCATTAGTGAACAGGACTGTTTGAAAATTAGTCTTCATGTATTTTTCTGCCCAATACAGCCATTTCTGTTTGTGAGTATTGGTTAGTGGTGGGCGAATAGAAGGTTTATGCACAGTTGCAAGACTCTGGAGGACTCTACACCTTGATGTCTGTGGGACTCCAGAGGCACTAGCAGCTTCAAATATCTGTTTGCTGCTATGTAATGGTATTTTAGCAGCTGCTCTCTTGATCCGATGTATGGATCTGGCAGAAATCTTCCTCAATGTGCCTTTATCTGCACGAACCCGTCTGTGCTCTGAATCAGCTAAAAATCTCTTAATAGTGCAATGATCACGCTTAAATTTTCATGAAATATCTAATGTTTTCATACCTCGTCCAAGGCATTGAACTATTTCACTCTTTTCGTCAGCAGAGAGAACATTTTTCTTCCCCATATTGCATGAAAATGGTGCTCTCCTTAATAATGTGGAACACCCTCCTTTAGTTTTCCTTAAATTGGGCTCACCTGGCAATATAATTATCACAGTTGTCCGAGATTGTTTTCAGTGATCAAAAGAGCCCTGAGACACAATGCCATCCATGAGTTAAACTGAAAAACAAAATATTTTATCTTTGTGACACTTAAATGGAATTTGCATAATAATTTGGAACAGGCTGTAGGTAGAGAAGGGATATTGGGAACAGGGAAAGACACATAAACCTTGTAAAGAAAGGGTGTAAAGAAGATGAGAGAAGTGTGACACTGAAAGAAAAAGAGGACAATGATAAAAAGGACAACAGTGGCACATATTGGGCAATAAGAAGGGAAGAAGATAGATGATGTTGAAGAAGGAGGACAATAAAGATAGTTTTGAAAATAAGGACAAAAGTAAATACAATGAGATATTCACTATATCAAAATATTTATTAAACAATCAGAGATATTAAGCACATAATTTATCAACACATTGAATTAATGCAAAAGTACACATATATGAAATATTTTTCAGTAGTTAGAAATAGTATATATTGTTTTTTCTCTTCTGAAAAAAAACAATGGCATGAAATGTAGGAAGATAGTTGCTGAATATTCTGAGACCCTTGCGTACAATAATTATTTTTACACAACACATCAACATACCCATGTGCCTAATTTGTTATGCACTATTGTTGTTAATAAGAAGTTCAACATCAGGCAAGCACTATGAGACAAAACATTTAAAATTCAGTAAATTTTATGTGCATACAATCGTAAACTGATCCGAGAAAAACAAAATTTTTCATTGATATAAAGTACTAAGGCACTCGGTAATACTACAGATACCCAAGACACTGCTCAATTTGCAGTATGTGTAATTGGAGTAAACTAAACTTTTACCATTTTTGAGGAGTTTAATCAACTGATGCCAAATTAAAGGCAGATCCACAGGGGCAGATATTTTTGAAGAATTGGACAAGTTTACTTTAGACAATCTGGTTTACATAAAAAACTAACAGAGCATAAAAACTGAAGTGGTTGGAGAGAAGAAAAATGTTGGCGTTCAAATCAAAAACACAAAAACCCTCTGGAATTAAACATAAAGTCTACAAAAAACACCCAACATCTATTGCACAGCAGGAATTAGAAGAATGTGAAGGATGTGATGAACATAGTGGTGAAGGCTGTAAATCTTGTCTTGTCTCAGGGATTAATTTATATCCAGTTTCAACTACCTTTGCTGGAAGCAGAGACTCCATATGTGAACCTGGTCTACTTCTCCAATTTTTTCTGCATTAGTTGATCTGCCATATTAGTAAAAGTATATGATGGGAAGAAACATCTACATTCCTTTTGTGTAGGTAAATTGATTCAGTGCAGCCCACTTGTTTATTCTTTCAGACTTGTATCTACACACTTCTCTACTTTAGTTTTTATTCTATTTTATTTGACTTTGTCAATAAAAGTTAAGTTTTATTTTTCCCTAGTTCTGGCTACAGTATTATTATTATTATTATTATTATTATTATTATATATATTCAATATGTCTGTATTTGAAAAATGTAAACTGAATTACAGTTAAAACTTTTTGTTAACTTTATTTGCCTGTGAAAATTTAATATATTGATATAGATATTAAAAATTAATTAAAACTAGATACAAGTAAAATGGGGGCAGGGTGTATCCAAGTTTCACCGGGTAAAAAGTTATTTTTATTAATATTATTATTATTATTATTATTATTATTATTATTATTAACATTTTCAGCATTTTCTGGTTAGCTCCTTACTTAACAACACCTACTGGCATTTTCTGTTTATTGCATCTGCAATTTAGAGGGTACCCCTATTTTATGGTGTGTGTTTTAGCTCTGGTTTTATATATTTTTAGCTCTATTGAATATATAGTGTAAATACGGAAAATGTAATTACATACTTACCTAGTAATTTTCTTTTCCTGGCTATTTATCATGGCAGCATCACTTATGGGTAGCTCTGCCCCTAACCAAATCAGGACAGGATTAACTGATAAAGAGAGAGAAAGAGACTGAAGGCATAAAAGGTCCCTCCTCCTTCCATAATTCAGTCAAGTCCAAAAGCAAGAAGGAAGGGTGACTGATGCTGCCATGATAAATAGTGAGGAAAAGAAAATTACTAGGCAAGTATGTAATTTAATTTTCTGTATCCCTGGCTAATCATGGCAGCATCACTTATGTGTAATACCCAAGCAAAAACCCATGAAAGGGAGGAAAAAAAAAAATTTAAAAAAAAATGAATGAAACAAAACGAATGAACAGGGAATCACTTAACATATGCTAGGCTTACCACAGGAACATGAACAAACTACCGAACAAAGGATTCTAACGAACACAGGAATACATGAATTGAGGGGAAGAAAATATTCCCGAATGAAGACGGGAAAGGTCTATCTCCCATTGTCTCTAGGTTCTGTAGGGGGAATATACAAGGCTTCTGATTTTATCAATGGGGCCATAAACCACAGCATTAATTTTGGATTATAAGCAGATTCAAATTACTAATTTTGAATCTGACCCAGTTAGTCATGCTCATGCATGCTGTTTACTGGGTCCTTTAGGCACAGAGAGGCTGAATTGTGTGTGGGAGACCCATGGTACACATAAGAAGGTGTCCAAAAAAAGAACAATTGCTAAATAAAATTTTAACCTGTCTGTCCGGTTAAGGACAGGAAAAAAGACTGAGGTATGGAAGGAGGAGGGTCCTTTTATGCCTCCAGTCTCTTTTTTTATTAGTTAATCCTGTCCTGATCTGGTTAGCGGCAGAGCTACCCATCAGTGATGCTGCCATGATTAGCCAGGAAAGTTAATTATTAGTCTCACAGTTGAATAAACAGATTGCCCCACACTGTTCTCCTTCAGTTAATTATATTATTATGGTCTGTGGGTTATAATAATATATTTAAGTACTTTTCTCAGTGCTGCCTTAATTTCTTGGTTTCTAAAACTATATATTATAGGATTTGCTAATGGTGTCCCTACAATGTACAGCAAAGATCTGAACTTATTGACATTGACAGAGTTTTCCCCAGAAGGAATCATATAAACTGTTATAAGAGACACATAATAAGTGCACACAGAGATGAGGTGGGAACTACAAGTGGAGAGGAACTTTCTCCTTCCAGTTTTAGAAGAAATGCCAATAAACATGAATGAAATTAAAATGTAGGTGATGACAATAAAAACAAATGGGACAAATATCATATTGACTGAGATGACGAAGTCCAATGTCATTAAAAGTGATGTGTCAGATGTAGATAGTGCCACTACGGGACCAAAGTCACAAAAGAAATGGTCTAAATAATTGAGACCACAGAATTTTAACTGGCAAATTATCACAAATTCACTGGATATTAAAATAAAAACTAGGACCCAGGACCCAGAAACCAGTGAGAGACAAACATTAGGAGTCATTATTAAAGTGTAGCTGAATGGTTGATGAATTGCTAGGTATCTATCATAGGACATCACTGCAAGGAGAAAACACTGCACAAAACCAGAAATACCAAAAATATAGAGTTGAGTTAAACAGCCAGCCAAAGGCACTGTCCTTTCTTCCATTATTATAATATTTAGTGCAAATGGCATAACGTTTGTGGTGAGGAACACATCAGCTAAAGCTAAGTGTTTGAGGAAGTAAAACATTGGAACATTGAGATGGTCAATAGTTGTCACCAGTACAATGATGAGAAGATTTCCACATAGTATTGCAGTGTAGATTATTAGGAACAGCATGAAGAGAAGGCCTTTTAGATGGTATAATCCCTGGAACCCCAAGAGCAGAAACTCTGGAACTTGAGTCTGGTTATCCTCACACATTGTGTAAACATATTACATGGACAGTTAATTTGATGATTCTTCTCCTAGAAAAAAAAAATATATATATATATATTTATATGTTGGTGTTACTTTGAAGACAGACCATGTAAAACCAAGATGTTGAGATAACATAATAATCATCTAGAACCCATTAGAACAGCTATTAAAAACCTTTGGCACTACAGATGTGGACTACATCTCCCATGACACAAACATAATGCTGGCAAATCATCAGGGTCCACAACGTCTGGAATGCCAAATGTTGCCTATTCGTGCATTATACAATCAGCCTGTTATATCTATAAAGAGAAAATGCAGGATATAGTCAGTTGATATTTTTTTTACCATGTCTACTGAATGAATAGTGTGATATGTTACATTTATATATTGTTTACAATTGCACATTAGCTGTTGAAGAAGATTCTTGTTTTTATGCTTGTTTTTATGCCCTTTATGCCACGTGGCCCTTAGAGATTAACCACATGTACATAAAAAATCTCGATGGAGAAAGCTGTGTCTTCTCATAATGGGCTACTTTATATTATTTACAAAACATGATCACAATTATAGGGAAAATAAAATTAGATATATTGATCATTTGTTTATTTTACAGACATTAGCAAAATATTTCAACGACTATAGAGTTTAATGTTTATAAATATTTGTTCCCCAGGAAGTTTAAATTATAAATAATGGATCCATATTGGAAACTGTGCTGCAGCTGGTTTCATTTTAGGTGATTCTTCTTAGATTACTCTAATGGCCAAAGTTGTATACATTGCATAGATATGATTACTGCTAATTTATTATATTTCCATTATACTGCAATGCGTATCCTTTTAGAAATGTGTAGTTTTTCTTACAAATTTGAGAATTTTTGACAACTTTAAAAAAAATGGAAAGTCTAATAAAAAATAGATACATTTAAAAATAATCTAATTTCTCTGGAATTTTAAAGACATTTCACAGCTCAAAAATGTTAGTTTTTTTGTTTTTTTCAAAACGTTGAGCTGAATGTTGTTACCACACAGTAAGATTATGAGAAACTGCTTTATCTAAAATGATTTTTTTAATGCAAAAATACAATTTGTTTTTCTAAGTTACTTGAGATTTTTAAGTTATTGCAATGAAGTAAAATGAAAACTAATCAAAATATGTGTTAGCTATTTCGATAGCATGATGTTTGGGTGAAAAAAACATTGTTTTAGTATAATAAACATTATACAAATAATAATTTGAATGTCTTTGTTGATTACTCTCTAATATTTACTTTTGTTCTGTCATAGACCCTTATAAGCCAATCTGACATTTATGAAACCTAATATTAACCCCTTAAGGACTGAGTCAAATGTACACGTTTTGATCAAAATAAAATCCAAACATAACTTGGAATTTTACTATATGTCTGTTCAACCATAATTTACCTCTTTCATATTAAGTGCACCCACACTTATTATATACCATTTTATTCAGGAGAAATAGGGCTTTTATTAAACATCAAATATTTAGCTATGAAACATAATTTAAAAGGAATAACATATTTTAAAAAATTGAGAAATTAAGACATTTTGTTATTTTTTTAGTTCTGCATGACATTTTAACTGTGAATGCCATAATTCTGCTTGCTTTTACTGCAATAAAATACACATATTTGTATTCAGCGATGTCTCACATGTAAAACAGTACCCCCTATTTAAAGGTTATATGGTGTTTTGGTCAAATATAGCATGTTAAATTTTTTCAGTTTTTGCACATTGAAATTCGCCAGATTGGTTACGTTGCCTTTGAGACCGTATGGTAGCCCAGGAATGAGAATTACCCCTATGACGGCATACCATTTGCAATAGTAGACAACTCAAGGTATTGCAAATGGGGTATGTCCAGTCTCTTTTAGTAACCACTTATACACAAACACTTGCCATGGATAGCGTTAATATTTGTTTGCGTGTGAAAAATGCAAAAAACTAATATGAACACCAAATTTGGCCAGTATATATTGATATCAAAATACACTTAGAACAAAATAACATACCTATACATAAATATATATGTATATATCTATATATATATACCTATATATAAATAAAAAATAATTTTAAAAAATATATATGAATATAAATATATTATATATATGAACAAGGATAGTAGTGAGAGCACTAAATAAAAAGGAATACATTTTTTCACCAGTATTGTCACAGACATATACCTAAAATGTGAAGCATAAAAGACCATAGGGTAATATAGTTAAAACATGTATTAAAACCACAAAATTACTGGTCAGACTTACATGTTTCTGAGTCACTTAAAAAAGCTGACTTAGACTATAGATGTAAAATGGAGATAGATTCCAATAGTAATGGACTTCTACAAAGGTCAAAATAAATCCTTATCGTCTCCCAGACTGTCAGCTCGAATAATCCAGGATGCAGGATCGCAGTAAAAGACTTCTTTATTGAGACATAAAATAAAACAAAATTCAAATGATATAGTCCATTAGCATCAACCACTGACGCGTTTCGGTGAAAGAGCCTTTTTAAAAGTGGTATTGTCTATCTATCTCCATTATTCCAATTTATAAACACAAAAAATTAGAGCCCTTTTCGATGACTTCCGGGTTTCCACTTCCACCTTCATCATTTGCTCGCATCTGACGTCATGATTGCGCAACCTACGTTGTGACGTCATCGTGGCAACGTCCACTGGAAGTATCCCGGACGCCATTTTTAATAGTCTGATCTATAGTGCAAGTGCCAGTCTCTTAAATAATTTCCACATAATAAAAAATTACAATATATAAACAACACCTATATTGTGCATTTGTTGCTATTACAGTTACCAATCTCCTAAATAATTCACATATAGACAATATTAGACTTGTAGATATATAGCCATACTATCTTGAAGAGGAAAAAAAAAAGCCGGGGGATAGAAGGGAATAAAAAGCAGATTCCAATAAAAACATGGAAATATCATAAAATAAAAAATAATAAAAAATTTAAATATTAAAGACTAAATAAAGATATTGTTACTAAGCAATATGAATTTAAGAACATAAATGATAGTGCTTATATACATGAATTGATTTCAAAGTCTGCATTCATACCATTGGGAAGCAAAGTATCCATATTGAAAATCCACCTCATTTCACTTTTACTAAGGAGGCTCTCCACATCACCTCCTCTCCAATGGGTTTTAACCACTTCTATACCCATAAACTCTAAACCATTGGCATTTCCACCATTTACTTCTAGGAAATGCTTGGATACACTATGGAGATGAAATTTCCGATTAATATTATATACATGTTCCCTGATTCGAATTTTTAATGCTCTGAGGTCTTCCCAATATACTGGAAACCACAAGGGCAGATGATCACATAAACAACATTCTTTGAATTACAGGTTAGAAAAGATTTAATTTTAAAAAGTTTTTATTAGTGAATGAGGTGAATTCAGTAACATTCCTATATTTATTTTTCCTTAAAGTGCAGCCTCTGCATGTCCCACAATAAAAGAAACCATTTCTCCTTTTAAACATAGTTGGAATCTGTACTTTCCTATTTATTTCTAAAAAAACTAGAAGTTAAAATCTGCTTAAAACTTTTTGCGCCCCTAAAAATAATTTTTGGTCTTTCACCTAAATATTGATGGATATCATGGTCTTGTTCTAAAAGATGCCAAATTTTTTCTAATTATTTTCCGTAGTTGGCCACTATTTGAACCATAGTTAAAAATCAGAGGTATAATTGTATCTTCTTCTTTATACTCTTTAACCTTATATTTTAATGTGTTCTCTCTTGGTTCTTTCTCTATCTCTTCTCTTATAAGTTGTAAGGAGTCTTGATTATATCCCTTTTATAAAAAATGATCAATTAAAATCTTGGTCTGGTCTCTATACTGTTCAGCTTCTGTGCAATTTCTTTTCATCCTTAAGAATTGCCCTTTTGGTATATTTTTTTTAAAAAGTTTTTACTTTTAATCTGACTGTCCTCAATATATATACTTAAATCTAAAAAAATGAACATTTCAGAATTAATTTCATAAGTTAAATTTATATTCCAGTCATTATTGTTTAAATTACTTTAAAAGTAGAAGTCCATTACCATTGGAATCTATCTCCATTTTACATCTATAGTCTGAGTCAGCTTTTTTAAGTGACTCAGAAGCATGTGAGTCTGACCAGTAATTTTGTGGTTTTAATATATGTTTTAACTATATTACCCTATGGTCTTTTTTTGCTTCACATTTTAGGTATATGTCTGTGACAATACTGGTCACCACTATGCTTCTTCTTATTTTGTTACACTGACTTTGTGGGTTTGAGTGATACGCACAAGGTGATAGTAGCACCGAGTCTTCCACTAGTTCCAACTATTTCTGTAGTTCTTTAA